AGCGACGGCGGCGGCGACTCGGCGGGCAGCGACTGCGACTCGCTGCCGGACACGGGCTGCATGGTGGACGTTCTGATGGATAAGCCTCACGCCAAGGTCCGCCAGTGATCCAAGTTCCGTCGGCGTCACCCCAACACGCCCGCACTGTGTGTGTGTGTGTGTGTGTGTGCGTCCCCCCCCCCCCCCAGGGGCGACGCGCGCGCCGAGAGGTCTTGCAGCATCTGCGTCGTGGCGGGCGCCTTCTGGCCACACCGCTCGGGGAACGATGTACTGCAAGAGGGGCATACTAGGTTCGGGTCGGACGCGCGCTTCCAAGGAGGACGCGTAGTACCAGCATATCTCTGCGCGTCCCATTCTGGGCCCAGACACGCTTGCCTCGATGTCTGTTCATGGGAGCCTTGGGCGGCGACACTGAAATCAGCTTTTCCTGCATTTAGACCGCGTAGGGACCGCATTTGGCCCATCCTCCTGCTCCTTCTCTCCCCTCCTGTTCCCCCTCCTCCTCCTCCTCCTCCTCCTCCTCCTCCTCCTCCTCGTTCTTCTACTCCCCGCGAATCCCCTCCAAATCTGGTCCAATTTTGTTCCAACTCCAGTCCAAATCAGGCCCAAATCGGACAGCGCCGGGGGCCACGCAGGCTCCCATGGAACGGACACCAAAGCCTGCGCCGTGAGAAACAAAAACACGACGGGGGAGGCCTCTGGCCGTGGGCCCCTGCCAGGACCCGGCCCCGTCCACGAAAGAAATTCTCGGAAGGAAGCGCTGGCCCCGGGGAGAGGTGGCCGTTTTTGTTGTTGTTGTTGTTGTTGTTGTTGTTGTTGTTGTTGTTGTTGTTGTTGTTGTTGTTGTTGTTGTTGTTGTTGTTGTTGTTGTTGTTGTTGTTGTTTTGCCGATCGGTGCGGGCCCTCGCACCCCCCCCGTTTCCCCCCCCCCCACCCGTGGAGTAGACCTTGCCTGTGTTTGGCGCCTCTTTCAGGCAGGTGGAGTCTCCACCACAGGACGACGCACCGTTGCAAGCAGTCGCACTGAGCAGAGGTCCGGAGCCAGACCTCCCCCGGCCCCCCCCCCCTTCCGCTCAAAGTCGAAGCGCCGGATAAGAAAATGCTGACACGGGTCGGGGCTTCGGGGGCCCCCCATCGAAGACCTCAAGACGTCGCCTGTCTGGATTGGGCGCTCCCTGGCTCCCAGGCGTCGCCATCTCTTTGCGCCGGGCGCTCTCGCCTGGCTTCTGGCCCTGGAGCCTTGCCAGATCGATCTGTCTCGGGAGATGCCGCAGATGCGGCATGCTTCCTCCATGCGTCGATTGGGGGATCGACTACAGAATCGATTTACCCCAAAATTGATGTTCACGTCGACTCTTCAGCAAAAACACGTCAACCATTCGTAGATCTGCGACAGCAATAGGAGATCGATGCTGGGGCAAACCAATTCTGCAGTCGATCCCCTACTCGAATGCTGGCGTCGCCTGTGTGTCGCCGACGTATCTGCGATGCGGTGTGATATCCTTTGGGCCGAGCTCTTCCGGGAGGTCCAGCATATATATACATATATATATATATATATGTGTATTATATATATATATACATATATAATATATATATATATATAGATATGTTGCATGTCTATATATCTGTCTGTCTGTCTGTATGAGTGTATGTATGTACGTATGTATGTATGTATGTACGTATGTATGTATGTATGTATGTATGTATGTATGTATGTATATATCTATCTATGTATGCATGTATGTATGTATGTACGTACGTACGTATGTATGTATGTATGTATGTATGCATGTTTGTATACATGTATGCATGTATGTATGCACTTATGTATGTAATGTAAGGTAAGGTATGGCAATGTAAAGTAATGTAATGTAATATCAGGTAATGTAGTGCAATGTAATGTAATGCATTGTAAGTAATGTATGTATAGTTGCTTGTATGCATGTATGCATGTATGCATATATGCATGTATGCATGTATGCATGTATGTATGTATATATGTATATATGCATGTATGTATGTACGTATGTATGTATGCATGCATGCATGCACGCATGCATGCATGCATATATGTATGTATGTATGTATGTATGTATGTATGTATGTATGTATGCATGTGTGTGTGTGCGGATGGATGGATGGACGGATGGATAGATGGATGGATGGATGGAGGGATGGACGGATGGAAAGATGGATGGATGGATGGATGGATGGATGGATGCATGCTTGTATGTATGTATGTATGTATGTATGTATGTATGTATGTATGTATGTGTGTATGTGTATGTGTATGTGTGTGTACGTATGTACGTATGTACGTATGTATGTATGTGTGTATGTATGCATGTATGTATGTATCTATGCATGCATGCATGCATGCATGCATGCATGCATGCATGCATGCATGCATGCATCTATGTATGTCTGTATGTCTGTATGTCTGTATGTCTGTCTGTCTGTCTGTCTGTCTGTCTGTCTGTCTGTCTGTCTGTCTGTCTGTCTGTCTGTCTGTCTGTATGCATGCATGCATGCATGGCATGCATGATGTATGATGTATGTTGGATGATGTATGAATGTGTGTATGCATGTGTGGATATGTCTGTCGTCTGTCTGTCTGTTGTCTGTCGTTGTCTGTATTTGGTATCTGTATGTATGCTGTATATATATATGTATATCCGGAGGCCCCCCATATCAGGGGAGGAGGAGGAGGATGAGGAGGAGGAGGAGGAGGAGGAGTGAGGAGGAGGAGGAGGGAATGGAGGAGGAGGAGGGGAGGTAGATGGGGAGAGGCGGAGGCGAGGCGGAGGAGGGGAGGGGAGGGGAGAAGGAGGAGGAGGAGGATGAGGATGAGGAGACGGGGATGGCAATGGCCATTTCGAAACTGAAAGGGAGGGGGAGGAGGATGCGAGGAGGAGGGAGGAGGAGGAGGCGGAGGCGGAGGAGTGGGAGGGGAGTGGGAGGAGGAGGAGGAGGAGGAGGAGGAGGAGGAGGAGGAGGAGGAGGCGGGTTATGCATCGACCCCCAATCGCCCAATCATCGCCGATATACGCCATCGGGGGCCTATCGCCGATCTATCAGTGATGTATCGCCGATTCCAGTCGGTGCTTTTCGCCAGGGGGCATTTTGTTCCCCAGCGATGTAGTGGGCGTGACCAGGGAGGGGGGGAGGGGGGGAGGGGCCGGTGACGTAACGCTTCGTGACGGCGCCGTGTGGGGATGCTTGGGAATGGCTTGTCCTGGACGGCGCCAGCGCGAACCGTGACGTGACCCAGGGAGGTGGGGGGCAGGGGGGTGGCGCGGCCGGTCACGGGCGTTGTCGCGAAGAACATAAGAGCGGGCTCCAGAAAGCAGAGCTCGAGCTAAACGTTGTTTTGGTGGCGATCTCGTGGACCGTTTTTGTTTCGCTCCCGTTCGGCAGGAAGGGAGGGACGAATACAGAGCGAGGGATTCGCCACAAAAAATACACAGACACCCTCCAGTGGATAATTCCCGGGCCTCAGGGGAGGGTGGCGGTGTATACACCCATATATATATATATATATATATATATATATATATATAGATGTACGTATATGTATGTATGTATGTATGTATGTATGTATGTATGTATGTATGTATATATAAATTACCACTGCGAGCCAGCGATTTCACACACCACCGCTCTCCCTGAAGGGACCTGCATAATTCATCTCAGGGCGTCTATGCATACACACACATCAATATACATCGATACATCTATATGTACATTAAATATGTATGTCTGTCTGTCTGTCTGTCTGTCTGTCTGTCTGTCTGTCTGTCTGTCTGTCTGTCTGTCTGTCTGTCTGTCTGTCTGTCTGTCTGTCTGTCTGTCTGTCTGTATGTACGCATGCATGTATGTATGTATGTATGTATATATATATATATGGTGTACGCATGCATGCATGTATGCATGTATGTATGTGCATGTGTATGTATGCATGTATGCAGTCATGCATGCATGCATGTATGCATGTATATCTGCATGTATGCAGGTATGCATTCATGTATGTATGCATGCATGTAGTTAAGCCTGTCTGTCTGTATGGATGTATGTATATGTCGGTTCATATATATATATATATATATATATGCATGTATGCATACGTACATACATGTATGCATGTACACCTACGTTTAAAGGTATATGCACCTGCACATGTATATGTATAGCGTGTGCGTATGTATTTGCATTTACAGTTGTAGTTGCATTTGTATGTGTATAGGTTTACAACATGTATATGTGCATGTATGTGTATATGTATATGTATACGTATACGCATGCATATATATATATAAATAAACATATATGTGTACACATTCGTGACGTAAGGGGCACCGATCGCAACGCGATAGCGGAGATGGATCACCTCTCTTTGGGCCGAGCCCTGCCAGAGAGGGCTCCCCAAGGAGGACGAAGGCGCGCCCCACGGCCCACTGTGGCACACAGGAGGATGAGGAGGAGGAGGAGGAGGAGGAGGGGGAGGAGGAGGAGGGGGAGGAGGAGGAGGAGGAGGAGGAGGAGGAGGAGGAGGAGGGGGATGATGATGACTGATGTTGATGATGACTGATGGAGATAATTGTGAGATGATGATGATGATGATGATGATGATGATGACGATGATGATGATCAGGAGGAGGAGGAGGAGGAGGAGGAGGAGGAGGAGGAGGAGGAGGAGGAGGAGGAGGACCCCCCAGGCACGCCTCGTCGGCGGCGAGATCCGAACCCTACCCTCGCCGATCCACGATTCAGGCAACTCGATGAGCGGCGGGGGCAGGGCTCGTGAGATTTCTATGATGTTCCAGCTTATTTTGTCCTTGATCACCACCAAAAAGAACTTCGAGCACCATGGAAGTACCGAAACTTAGGGATTTTCACGTATCGGGCCCTGGGAGGCGATATTCGTTCGACACTGTTTCGATACTTCTGTGGGGTGCTCGAGATTGTTTCTGGGATGTGGTCCTTAAGTACGACGGGAGCAGCAGAACGTTAGATGCTCGTTTTGGGGGACCTTCCTGGGGCCCACCTAGCGGATCTGTCCGACTCCAGTTCGACGCAGGGTCGACTCAGATTTG